GGCATGTGTCACCACGCCCAGCTAATTTGTGTGTGTGTGTAATTTTATATTTTAGTAGAGAGGGGTTTCTAGCTGAGGGTCAGGCTGGCTCGAACTCCGACCTCAGGTGATCCACCTACCTCGGCCTCCAAAGTGCTGGGTTAAAGCATGAGCCACTGCATCCGACCCAGGATGGCTGTTTTTTAAAAAAATAAATGTTGGCAAGGGTGTTAGAGAAATTAGAACTCTTGTGCAGTGTTTTGGGAAATGTTAAATGTCATAGCCCTTTACAGCTACATATCCAAAAATAATTGAAATTAGGTTCTCAAAGAAGATGCCTGCTCTTTAAAAAAAAATAAACAAAGGGTCTGCTGTGTTGCCAGACTGTACTCGAACTCCTGAGTTCAAGAAATCATCCGGCATCAGCCTCCCAAGTAGCTGTGATGACAGGTGTGCACTACCACAACCATTGACCTGCTGTTTAATGAGTGTGCTTCCACTACAGTAGCTCTCTCAGGCCGGGGTAGAAAGATCTTGTTGTAAATCCAATGAACGGGTACTCTGAATACGTGTAGCATCAAGTTTTTTCTGCTGACAGAAATGGTTCTATAACCACATACTTTTGTTGAAAGGCTTTGATGCAGAAATGCTTTCAATGCAGGCTTTCGAAAAGATCACTATCTGACTCCATATCTTTAAAGAAAAATTAAGCTAAGGAAATGAACCCAGGATTAAGGAATGCCCGGAAGCTTCTCGTCCTTTCTCTAGTGGTACCAGTTATTACAGACGGAGAGGAGAGCTGTTGAGACAACTACAGCAGATTGTTCTGTAATGATGACATTCTTGCTTATTTTAAATAGGCCATTAGAGGCCTCAGTTGAGACTTTGCAGAAGGAACACAGTTCTTGGATAATCAGAAAATGACTTCTTTGGGAATTCTTCATTTAGGAAATGGAGGGTTTTCTATCTGTTTAACCATTGCATTACCGTGCTTAGATTAATTTTAAAATCTTACCTACTTTTTAAAAGTGAATATTACTGGAAGGCTTGTTCCCTATTGTAAATTAAAATGTAAAATTCATTATAGAAAATTAGGAGAATCTGTGAAGAAGAAAAGGAAAGCACCTGTAATCACCCAACAACTTCCAGCCTCTCTAGCTATACGATCCCAGAAGTGGACCCTTACCTGTTATTTGGGTTTTGTTTTCTTTCTCTAACATATTCATTTTTCTCATGTTAGTGGACTGTTCTTTGCAGAGAAGATTTTTAATGGCTGTATACGAGTCATACACAGTTTACCCGTCCCTATAGAGGCAATTGGGTAGTTTAAGAATTTTTGCTCTTAGAAATATGCTGTGGCGAAAATTCTCACACAATTCTTGGCCCCGTCTTCTGATCCTTTTCATCGGTGGTTTTAGAAAATGGAACTTAGCAGTCCATCCATCTAAACCTTCAAACAACATATCAGTGCGAAATGCTAGGCACAGAGCAATCCAAATGCTAGCCTACACTTTGCATTTTCAGTGATAGACATTTAGAAAGCTGGGGCTTTTTCCTTTCATAAGAAGCTTATGCTTTGTTGGCTTCCAGGGAAATGGCCCTGAGGTGACAGCTGTCAGTCAAAAAAGCCAGTTTCTTAGCCAGGCCCTGAGGCTTAGCAGCTGCCAGCAGCCCTTCCGGCAGCACAGCCTCCAGGAGGCAGGGTCTGGGGTCTGCATAAAGGGTGCCCTCTGCTTGGAGCAAGTCAGGAGAGCAGAGTGAAGAAATGAGCGTGGCCATTGCTTTTCAAATACTTACCATCTCAGAAACCCTGCATTCTTCCCGTCAGCAACAAAAGCCAGCATTTCTTAACACTGGCTCTGAGTTGAGCATGGAGGCCCGGGCCTGGCATGGAGCGCCTTGGTTTTGCTGTAGAGAGAGATGGCAAAGGCAAGCGGAGGACGAACACCAGGTTCCACATGGCTTCTGGGCCAGGAGGAAAAAACATCCCACGGTTGGATCACCCTCAGTCACCTGAATCCGCAGGCAAGGAGCATCTATGATCCATGCTTCCGTAAAAAGTCATCTTGCCTTTATTTGAAAGGCTCATAACATTGGCAGCAGCTGGTTCAGTTTTTGAATGAGCGTTTCCATTTTGGTAATTGGCTATCAGTGCACTCAAGTATGTGTGCAAGATCAGGCAGAGGGTTTGGGGTGGGACAGCCCCGCCGCGCTCAGGACGCTGGCCACAGAAGAGGGTTCTGTTCTCAGCAAGTGGGATGCCATGTAGCTGTAAAAAACATCAGTGGGGGCCCAGCTCTAGGGCTTTGTTAGGCAACAAAAGCAAAGTGCAGGAAACAAAAGTAATGTGCTACATTTTTTCTGAAGAGAGGAAAAGAATATGTTAGCTTATAAATGCGTAAAAGAATCTGAAAGGATGGAAAATTATAGGGATTACTATGGGAAGGGGACAAGGCCGGAAAGATAATGCCACCTAGATCTTATCTTCTAATATGTTTGAACTTTAGAATGTGCTACCTATTGAAAAAGAAAATTTTTAAATCAATGAAGAAAAGGAGATGGGACCCTTGGGACTAGGTGGCGAGACTCCCTTGGCTACTAGGGAGAGCTGGGTAATCCCTGTAACCTTGGCTATAGGAGGATCACTTGAGCAAGGAGTTCAAGATTACGTGAGCCAAGATTGTCCCACTGCTCTGTAGCCTGGGCGATAGAGCGAGATTCTGTCTCAAATAAACAAAAATAAAATTAGCTTAAAAAGCTTTGTATCAGTGTGGACCAAGTAGACCCAGATCTGGCTCCACCACTTGCCAGCCCAGTAAGGAAGGACACAGTTGCTTTTTTTTTTTTTTTTTTTTTTTTTTTTGGGAGACAGGGTCTCACTCTGTCACCCAGACTGGAGTACAGTGGCACAATCTTGGCTCACTACAACCTCCTCCTCCCAGGCTCAAGCGATTCTCCTGCCTCAGTCTCCCAAGTAGCTGGGATTACAGGTGCACAACACCATGCCTGGCTAATTTTTGCATTTTTAGTACAGACGGTGTTTCACCATGTTGGTCAGGCTGGTCGTGAACTCCCGACTTCAGGTGATCCATCTGCCATGGCCTCCCAAAGTGCTGGGATTACAGGCGTGAGCCACCACACCTGGCCTACAAAGGCCTTTTAAATGTAGTTATATGTATATGTATTTAACTTAGATGTCCATTTTAG